GTCCCATTGATACACATTGATAATGACCTGTATAAGGTCCCATTGATACACATTGATAATGACCTGTATAAGGTCCCATTGATACACATTGATAATGACCTGTATAAGGTCCCATTGATACATATTGATAATGACCTGTATAAGGTCCCATTGATATACATTGATAATGACCTGTATAAGGTCCCATTGATACACGTTGATAATGACCTGTATAAGGTCCCATTGATACACATTGATAATGACCTGTATAGAGTCCCATTGATACACATTGATAATTACCTGTATAAGGTCCCGTTGATACACATTGATAATGACCTGGATAAAGTCCCATTGATACACGTTGATAATTACCTGTATAATGTCCCATTGATACACATTGATAATGACCTGTATAAGGTCCCATTGATACACATTGATAATTGACCTGTATAAGGTCCCATTGATACACATTGATAATGACCTGTATAAGGTCCCATTGATACACATTGATAATGACCTGTATAAGGTCCCATTGATACACATTGATAATGACCTGTATAAGGTCCCATTGATACACATTGATAATGACCTGTATAAGGTCCCATTGATACACATTGATACTGACCTGTATAAGGTCCCATTGATACACATTGATAATGACCTGTATAAGGTCCCATTGATACACATTGATAATGACCTGTATAAGGTCCCATTGATACACATTGATAATGACCTGTATAAGGTCCCATTGATACACATTGATAATGACCTGTATAATGTCCCATTGATACACATTGATAATGACCTGTATAACGTCCCATTGATACACATTGATAATGACCTGTATAATGTCCCATTGATACACATTGATAATTACCTGTATAAGGTCCCGTTGATTAACATTGATAATGACCTGGATAAAGTCCCATTGATACACGTTGATAATTACCTGTATAAGGTCCCATTGATACACATTGATAATTGACCTGTATAAGGTCCCATTGATACACATTGATACTGACCTGTATAAGGTCCCATTGATACACATTGATAATGACCTGTATAAGGTCCCATTGATACACATTGATAATGACCTGTATAAGGTCCCATTGATACACATTGATAATTGACCTGTATAAGGTCCCATTGATAGACATTGATAATTACCTGTATAAGGTCCCGTTGATACACATTGATAATGACCTGGATGAAGTCCCATTGATACACGTTGATAATTACCTGTATAATGTCCCATTGATACACATTGATAATGACCTGTATAAGGTCCCATTGATACACATTGATAATTGACCTGTATAAGGTCCCATTGATACACATTGATAATGACCTGTATAAGGTCCCATTGATACACATTGATAATGACCTGTATAAGGTCCCTTTGATACACATTGATAATGACCTGTATAAGGTCCCATTGATACACATTGATACTGACCTGTATAAGGTCCCATTGATACACATTGATAATGACCTGTATAAGGTCCCATTGATACACATTGATAATGACCTGTATAAGGTCCCATTGATACACATTGATAATGACCTGTATAAGATCCCATTGATACACATTGATAATGACCTGTATAATGTCCCATTGATACACATTGATAATGACCTGTATAAGGTCCCATTGATACACATTGATAATGACCTGTATAATGTCCCATTGATACACATTGATAATTACCTGTATAAGGTCCCGTTGATTAACATTGATAATGACCTGGATAAAGTCCCATTGATACCCGTTGATAATTACCTGTATAAGGTCCCATTGATACACATTGATAATGACCTGTATAAGGTCCCATTGATACACATTGATAATTGACCTGTATAAGGTCCCATTGATACACATTGATACTGACCTGTATAAGGTCCCATTGATACACATTGATAATGACCTGTATAAGGTCCCATTGATACACATTGATAATGACCTGTATAAGGTCCCATTGATACACATTGATAATTGACCTGTATAAGGTCCCATTGATACACATTGATAATGACCTGTATAAGGTCCCATTGATACACACTGATAATGACCTGTATAAGGTCCCATTGATACACATTGATAATGACCTGTATAAGGTCCCTTTGATACACATCGATAATGACCTGTATAAGGTCCCGTTGATACACATTGATAATGACCTGTATAAGGTCCCATTGATACACATCGATAATGACCTGTATAAGGTCCCGTTGATACACATTGATAATGACCTGTATAAGGTCCCATTGATACACATTGATAATGACCTGTATAAGGTCCCATTGATACACATTGATAATGACCTGTATAAGGTCCCATTGATACACATTGATAATTGACCTGTATAAGGTCCCATTGATACACATTGATAATGACCTGTATAAGGTCCCATTGATACACACTGATAATGACCTGTATAAGGTCCCATTGATACACATTGATAATGACCTGTATAAGGTCCCATTGATACACATCGATAATGACCTGTATAGGTCCCGTTGATACACATTGATAATGACCTGTATAAGGTCCCATTGATACACATCGATAATGACCTGTATAAGGTCCCAGTTGATACACATTGATAATGACCTGTATAAGGTCCCATTGATACACATTGATAATGACCTGTATAAGGTCCCATTGATACACATTGATAATTGACCTGTATAAGGTCCCATTGATACACATTGATAATGACCTGTATAAGGTCCCATTGATACACATTGATAATGACCTGTATAAGGTCCCATTGATACACATTGATAATGACCTGTATAAGGTCCCATTGATACACATTGATAATGACCTGTATAAGGTCCCATTGATACACATTGATACTGACCTGTATAAGGTCCCATTGATTCCACATTGATAATGACCTGTATAAGGTCCATTGATACACATTGATAATGACCTGTATAAGGTCCCATTGATACACATTGATAATGACCTGTATAAGGTCCCATTGATACACATTGATAATTGACCTGTATAAGTCCCATTGATACACATTGATAATTACCTGTATAAGGTCCATTGATACACATTGATATAGACTGTATAAGGTCCCATTGATACACATTGATAATTGACCTGTATAAGGTCCCATTGATACACATTGATAATGACCGTATAAGGTCCATTGATACACATTGATAATGACCTGTCTAAGGTCCCATTGATTACACATTGATAATGACCTGTATAAGGTCCATTGATACACATGATAATGACCGGTATAAGGTCCCATTGATACACATTGATAATGACCTGTATAAGGTCCCATGATACACATGATAATGACCTGTATAAGGTTCCCATTGATACACATTGATAATGACCTGTATAAGGTCCCATTGATACACATTGTAATGACCTGTATAATGGTCCCATGATACACATTGATAATGACCTGTATAAGGTCCCATTGATACACATTGATAATGACCTGTATAAGGTCCCATTGATACACATTGATAATGACCTGTATAAGGTCCCATTGATACACATTGATAATGACCTGTATAAGGTCCCATTGATACACATTGATAATGACCTGTATAAGGTCCCATTGATACACATTGATAATTACCTGTATAAGGTCCCATTGATACACATTGATAATGACCTGTATAAGGTCCCATTGATACACATTGATAATGACCTGTATAAGGTCCCATTGATACACATTGATAATGACCTGTATAAGGTCCCATTGATACACATTGATAATGACCTGTATAAAGTCCCATTGATACACATTGATACTGACCTGTATAAGGTCCCATTGATACACATTGATAATGACCTGTATAAGGTCCCATTGATACACATTGATAATGACCTGTATAAGGTCCCATTGATACACATTGATAATGACCTGTATAAGGTCACATTGATACACATTGATACTGACCTGTATAAGGTCCCATTGATACACTTTGATAATGACCTCTATAAGGTCCCATTGATACACATTGATAATGACCTGTATAAGGTCCCATTGATACACATTGATAATGACCTGTATAAGGTCCCATTGATACACATTGATAATGACCTGTATAATATCCCATTGATACACATTGATAATTACCTGTATAAGGTCCCATTGATACACATTGATAATGACCTGTATAAGGTCCCATTGATACACATTGATAATTGACCTGTATAAGGTCCCATTGATACACATTGATAATGACCTGTATAAGGTCCCATTGATACACATTGATAATGACCTGTATAAGGTCCCATTGATACACATTGATAATGACCTGTATAAGGTCCCATTGATACACATTGATAATGACCTGTATAAGGTCCCATTGATACACATTGATAATGACCTGTATAAGGTCCCATTGATACACATTGATAATGACCTGTATAAGGTCTCCCATTGATACACATTGATACTGACCTGTATAAGGTCCCATTGATACACATTGATAATGACCTGTATAAGGTCCCATTGATACACATTGATAATGACCTGTATAAGGTCCCATTGATACACATTGATACTGACCTGTATAAGGTCCCATTGATACACATTGATAATGACCTGTATAATGTCCCATTGATACACGTTGATAATGACCTGTATAAGGTCCCATTGATACACATTGATAATGACCTGTATAAGGTCCCATTGATACACATTGATAATGACCTGTATAAGGTCCCGTTGATACACATTGATAATGACCTGTATAAGGTCCCATTGATACACATTGATAATGACCTGTATAAGGTCCCATTGATACACATTGATAATGACCTGTATAAGGTCCCGTTGATACACATTGATAATGACCTGTATAAGGTCCCATTGATACACATTGATAATGACCTGTATAACGTCCCATTGATACACATTGATAATGACCTGTATAAGGTCCCATTGATACACATTGATAATGACCTGTATAATGTCCCATTGATACACATTGATAATGACCTGTATAAGGTCCCATTGATACACATTGATAATGACCTGTATAAGCAGGATGGCGCAGTCCGGGTAGAGGCCAATGACCGTGTGTAGCGGGGTGCTGCCGTGCTTGCACTGGCTGTTGACGTCCGCGCCGTGGCCGATGAGCTGCTCCATGCACGCCCTGTGACCCTTGTACGCCGCCCAGTAGAGCGGCGTCTTCCCGTAGAAGTCTTTGCTGTCGCACGAGTCGGTGTCTGATGCCATTGCAAAAAACGACAGGGGCGGGGGGAGAGGGGAAATCACTGCAGCGCAAATTGGGGGCTGGGGGGGGGCTCAACAGGACATTTACATCACAGAGCTAGCTCTGTGATATCCGATGGGGAAAGTGCTGCCCTCCGATTGGGGGATCTGACGTCACTTGAAGGAATTACGGGTGGCGGCTCTGTGATATCGGGTGGGGATAGCGCTGCCCTCTAATTAGTGGATCTGAGGTCACTGGAAGGAATCACAAGTGGCGGCTCTGTGATATCCGATGGGGAAAGCGCTGCAGCTCCGTGTTATCCACTTCCGAACGGGGCTCCTGCGTCTCAGGGGCTTGACGCCGATAGTGCGACGGGGGATGATAAATCGGTGGGCAAATGGCGACAAGAGTTTGTAACGAGTTTACCGAGCCAAAGCAGACCCTGACGAATGTCCAATTACAGCGTGGTGGCACACACAAACGATCCGCCGCTTTCTTACGTACGCTGAACTTCTTTCGCACTGTAAGTAGCCAACCGTTCTAATCGGAGGGTGGTCGAGTGTGTGGATGAGTGACTATGTGAGTGGGTGAGTGACTATGCGAGTCTATGTACGTGTGTATGTTCAACTTCTTTCGCACCGTACGTGGTCAACCGTGCTGATTGGGAGGTTGCGGGGGGGAGGAAAACAAACTTACACACAAGAAGCAGTTCCAACAGCAAAGGCGTAGCTGTACATTCGACAGGCGCGAGGCCAGCATGTTTTGTTTGCTGTGAGCCAGTGGACGGCATGGGTCCTGGTACACAGAGTGATATGGGGCACCCGCTGTGCAGTTTCACCCGCTTTGCTGCTCGGTGTCTGGACGCGTCCAGCCTGTGCTACCTGGAGCACTTACACCACCTGCACTCAATAGCTCAATCAATGTTTAGCTCACACAAGTGGTGCCGAGTAAAAAAAAAAAAGTTTTCCTGATTGTGCTATTGGGGGTTAAGGTAATGAGTCCGAGTATCCATTCAGAACTCGTGTATAGCAAGTGCAACCCTTTATGTTGGGAAATGGCTCAAGGAATCAGATAATACAGAACTACTTCTGATTGCCATTTAATTGCCCTCTGGTCCACAAACCGCATTCGGATGTTCGCTGGACGACAGTCAAACCATTATCTTTAATTCTCAGTATGTTACTACAGGATATGTTTGCATCGGTATACAGGCAGACACCATCAACTCATTACAGTTAATAATTCTGTTGAATCCGAGGCTGCCGAAACCCAGATCAGAACCCGGCATCTCAGCGGCGTCAGCTCGGCACTCTGACCTCTGAACCACCCGGGCGCCCTCCTCTTCCACGGCCACACTTTCAAACCTGCACACCACGCACAGGGCGCACAACACACTACACAGCACGCAGCACAGCTGCTACCTGTCGCGTGCAGGAGGATGTTGAGTTTGTGGAGGTCACCCCGGCTGGCTGCGTAGTGCAGGTCTGTCCAGTTGTGGTCGTAGCTGGGGCAGCGCTTGCACCACCCGGACACCTTGCCGTCCGGGTCGCCTTCCGAGCGTTTGGTGCCAAACCATCTCAGCGAGCTGCCGTGTAAGCCCATGACCGTGGTTCCGTTATGTGAAGCGCCTGGAGGGGCGGGTCGGTGGAGGTGTCTCTCTCGTGGCAAGTAGGGCGAGGGATTATAGCTGGGGACGGTGCGGCGATGAAGACGGTGACGCGACAACAAATTATAATCGAGCACGTACTTTGTGCGTGGTCGATTACTCGGGCGACCTTTAAAAATGGAGGTCACCCCCACATACTGCCCTCCCTGAAGGTGGGAAACCCCCCCCCCCCCTTACAAGCCACGCCCAGAGTGATGCAGGTGATGATGCTGTCACCAAGCCCCGTCCATTGCCTCCCGTCCAGCGGCACACGTGCGAAGAGAGATGCCACTTTTTTTCCCCTCCCTAAATATTTGTGTTGTCCGATTGGTCGAATGATCTAAATAATAATCGCCCTAGTAATCAATTACTTAAGTGGTCTGATAGAGAAGGATCGTGCACTTGGTACTGATTCAATTGAGGACTACCTGAGAAGCGCTTGAGGTGCAGGAAACGTGGTCTGATCTTGCTGTGTTATCTAATAATGTTTTGACAACTTATGATTCTTCACTTGCCCCCCACCCCCCAGGAGCGTATTCATAAAAGAAAAAGCTGATAAGACTACATATTGCTATACCCAGTAAATATTGTATCTGTCCGTCCGTTCATCCATCCATCACGTGTTTTCGGAGAATAACTTACAAAAGCCCAGAAGCAAATCGCTATGAAATTTACTACACAGCTTTATCTGCCCCAATCAATGCCCTGACGTGTCTGAGAGTAAGGGCAATCTGAAATTACGTGTTGGCACGGTTATCACGAATTGGGTGGTCGTAAATAATGATACTTGGAATCATATTCTTGGTTCTTTCGGTAAAGTCACGTAGAAGGGAAACAATAAAATAATAAAAAATATGAAACAATACCAAAAATATACTTGGAATCGTTTTAAATACCCACCGTGCTTGCGTTTGTAACCCGTTTGTACATCGAAATACCACCCCCCGAAGGATGTGGAAGAGGCTCCCTTAACAGACCCGTGGTTTTTGTTGTTATTTTTAACAATTTATTACTTAGAAACGGGAATCGTCAGAGTGACAATAATCTCAGAATTGATTAACTCGCTCCGTCAAATGTATCGAGTCGATTTAAAATCCTGAGATTATATGGGCAGGCCTGTTCGTAGTTCTCGGCGTGTGTCAAGGCCCTCTTTATGATTCTGCTCAGGATCAGTAATTGTTCAACAGTTAGTGCGAGTTAATGTTGTTAATTAACCTGCTTTGAAACGTCTTAAATAGGTTGTTTACTATTAGACGTGCCGAGGTCGTATTGTGCTCTCGCAATGCCTACTTTAATCGCCACGGCCGTTACCACTTTATTAAAATCATGACCGGTGCAGCCAGACGTTATTAAAATTTATATTCGACGTATGAGACACTTTTACAGTGCAACAACAACAAACAATAACCTTGATATATCATATACACTACGTTACCTATGCAGCACTTAACATTCTCACAAAAGCTAGGCTTCCTAAAGGCACGCGTTTAACTTGCTTGAGGCAACGGAAAACACCAACATCGTTAATAAATGCCGCGCTAAATTTTTTTAATAACCGCTGCTGCGCCTTCACACAAAAAGAAATAAAATAAAACGCGTAACTTGCCGCCTACGACACCCCCCCACACCCCCCTGCCCAACGCGATCACGGGGAGCAGGGAGCGCTCCACCCGGCCGAGGGATCCAGGCGAGCGCGTAGGCTTCGCTCCGTCCTCCTAGGCCTTCAACATAACGGTATCGTTAACGGAGACGGCGTGGAGATACATCAAACAACAACAACAATAACGACGACGCGATATGAATTATCGCGAACGTAGCTAGTTGGCTTATGAACCACCCGTTAATGTGCCGAGCGCCGTGAGTTTAGCAGGCTTGTTTGGCGGGCGATGGTTGCTGTGCGTTGTGAGGGGAACGCCCCTGTGGGTGTTGGCACAGGCAGAGGGGCAGGGCGAGCGGGAATAGCCCAGGGGTGGCACCACCACCACCACCACACTATACTATACACTATTATATACTATACAATATTATATACTATATACTATTATATACTACACTACTACTATACACTATTATATACTATTATAAACTACACTACTACTATTATACACTATTATATACTATTATATACTACACTACTACTATACACTGTGACTATTATATACTATTATATACTACACTATTATATACTATATACTATTATATACTACACTACTATACACTGTGACTATTATATACTATTATATACTATATATACTATTATATACTACACTACTACTATACACTGTGACTATTATATACTATTATATACTACACTATTATATACTATTATATACTACACTACTATACACTGTGACTATTATATACTATTATATACTATATACTATTATATACTATACACTACTACTATTATACACTATTATATACTATTATATACTACACTATTATATACTATACACTACTACTATACACTACTACTATTATATACTACACTATACACTATTATATACTACACTACTACTATACACTATTATATACTACTATACACTACCCTATACACTACTATATACTGTGACTATTATATACTACTACACTATTATATACTATTATATACTACACTATACACTATTATATACACTACACTACTATATACTATACACTACTATACACTACTACTATACACTGTTATATACTACTACACTGTTATATACTATACACTACTACTATACACTACTACTATTATATACTATTATATACCACACTATACACTATTATATACTACACTATACACTACTATACACTATACTATACACTACACTATACACTACTACTATACACTACTACTATACACTATTATATACTATACACTACTATACACTATACACTACTATATACTACTACCATACACTACACTATACACTACTACTATACACTATTATATACTACACTATACACTACACTATACACGACTATATACTACACTATACAATACTATACACTACACTACTATACACTACACGATACACTACACCACTATACACTACACTACTATAAACTACACTACTATACACTACACTACTATAAACTACACTACTATACACTACACTACTATAAACTACACTACTATACGCTACACTACTATACGCTACACTACTGTACACTACTATACACTACACTACTATACACTACACTACTATACGCTACGCTACTATACGCTACACTACTATACGCTACACTACTGTACACTACTATACACTACACTACTATACACTACACTACTATACACTACTCTACTATAAACTACACTACTATACACTACACTACTATACACCACTACTATACACTACGCTACTATACACTACAATACTATACACTACACTACGATACACTACTGTACACTACTATACACTACTATACGCTATACTACTATACACTACTATACACTACACTATACACTACTATACACTACACTACTATACACTACTATAAACTACACTACTGTGAACTACACTACTATACACTACACTACTATACACTACACTATACACTACTATACACTACACTACTATACACTACACTACTATAAACTACACGACTATACAATACACTACTATAAACTACACTACTATACGATACACTACTATACACTACACTACTATGCACTACACTACTATGCACTATACTATAACTACACTACTATAAATACACTACGATACACTACTATACACTACACTAATATAAACTACACTACTATAAACTACACTACTATACACTACACTACTATAACTACACTACTATAACTACACTACGATACACTACTATAAACTACACTACTATAAACTACACTACTATAAACTACACTACTATACACTACACTACTATATTATTTGGGTCTTTCGGTAAAGCCACGTGATAGAAAAATAATAAAAACATATTCTTAGTTCTTTCGGTAAAGTCACGTTGAAGGGAAACAACAAAATAATAAATTATATATAAAACAATAAAAATTCTCACGACGTTTCGACCATAACACAAACGGTCGTCTTCAGGTGTGTCGGTTTGCATAAATGTATTTATTTTTAAGCGGTGTATTTATTTATAAAAAAAAACGTTAGCGCCACGCGCAGCGATTTGGCAGTTTATTTAGACGGACTAGTCCATCTATGTTCTGAAAAGAGGAGGGGGGAGACGAATTTTTTTTTATAATATGCATATCCGACCAGGAACACATAGGCAGTGAATTCAAGCACGTACACCAAGCTCTTAAGGCTAATGGTTACTCCGACTATACAATCCGCAAAGCTATCACTCAAACCATGAAGAAGGACCCTCTTGAGGAGCCTTTCAAAACCATCACTTTACCCTACATTGCGGGAATCACAAAAAAAGATCTCCAAAATCCTGAATAAACACAAGATCCAGGTCCGTTTCAACACATTACATAAAATCCGTGATCTGGTTCCGTCTGTAAAAGATGTGATTCCGGACATACAATACCCTGGTGTCTACAAACTAAGTTGCCTCTGTGGTAGTAGTTACATTGGAGAAACCAAACGCCATGTCTCGGACCGCATTCGTGAACACAAAGCAGACCTTAAACACGGTAGGATCAACACCTCGGCCGTGGCAGATCATTGTTATAATTCAGTAGGCTCACATGACATTGACTTTTCCAAGACAGAGGTTCTTTGTAAGCCATCTGGCTACCATGAGAGATTCGTTCATGAGGCTATCCACATATACAAGCACAGAGACAATTTCAACCGAGAAGATGGATTATGGCTTAGCAATCATTGGAAAGATTTGATAAACCATTTCAGGTCTTAATTTATTGTTCACGCTTACAGTGGCTTTCAGACAGCATACAAAAAAAAATCGTCTCCCCCCTTCTCTTTTCAGAACATAGATGGACTAGTCCGTCTAAATAAACTGCCAAATCGCTGCGCGTGGCGCTAACTTTTTTTTTATAAATAAATACACCGTTTAAAAATAAATAAATTTATGCAAACCAACACACCTGAAGACGACCGTTTGTGTTATGGTCGAAACGTCGTGAGAATTTTTATTGTTTTTTATATTTTATTATTTTGTTGTTTCCCTTAAACGTGACTTTACCGAAAGAACTAAGATAATGAATTACTGCAGTCACGAAAGCTTTAAATCAAAATTTAATAAAAACATGTTTTTTTATTAATAATAATGTATTCTTTTTCTATCTACGTGGCTTTACCGAAAGTCCCAAAGAAATGAATTCCTGCAGTCACGAAAGCTTTCAATCAATATTTACTCTACCTTATGCTTCACTACTAGGTATTGATTATGATGATCATCAGACATAGTCAATCCACTGCTGGATGAAGGCCCTACCCACGCAGCGTGAATTGTGGGTGACTATTTGACCATACTTCACTGTACAGTTGTAGGGTTTGTCACGGGGAGAGAAAGCAAAGGTACAGGAGCATAGAAGTATAGGCTAACAATGCATGTTGCTGCCCTCTGCTGCCCACAGCGTAATCGAGGGATGGGGGGGGGTGTTGGGGGTTGTACCGACCCCATGGGGGGTAACGTGGCAATGTCCCAAGGGGATAACGCGAGGTGGTTTAACACATTCCTGCGGAGGGAGCTGGTAGGAACGTTGGGTTGCTCGGTCAATGTCCAGGGTCAACAACGGCGGCACCACGTGGTGTGTTCCGCACAATATGCCCGACTGTGAGGGCGGGCACAAGCCGGCGTGAGTAGGTTAAACGTTGAGTTTTATAAGGGCACCACGGGGTGACCAGCCCCTCCCCACTCAGCCCCATCCCTCCCACCCCCCCACCCAGCTCCTCCCCACCCAGCCCATCCCCACCCAGCCCCTCCCCACCCTCTCCACCCAGCCCCACCCCTCCCATTTTTGGATGCACGCCGGACGGACGGACACAATAATCCCCTGCGGGCTGCTGGTGTAACCAGGAGGTTCCTACTACCAGTAAAAATGTGTGAAATTACATCGTGCACGTGAGAGTCATTGGGTAGAACAATCACGCGTGAATCTGCCGATATTAAATAACTTCGAAAGAACATGTTGTAATCCATGTGGTAACCTAGAACAATACATAAAAATAAAATCACAATTGTTTAAGGGCGCTTCATGCAATTAAATTATTATCAGAATTATTTATAATATTTAATCGTAAGCAATGTTGGTTTCCACGAGTCACCAGTGAGCATCACTGCACGCAGAGCGTCCGATGACTTTGTTTTATTATTGCAAGGCCGTAATTATAATATATATGGGGGGGGGGGGACACACATCCCCCCCAATATTCAAATATGCTCAAAATGTCCCCCCCAATATATTGCTATAAAAACGAAATTGCTGTGCTATGTAAATAAAAACAACAATTTGCTAAACCTTGGCCACAATATCTGGACTTGTCTGTATATAAATCAACGTATAGATTTCTGTTTATATGATTTACCGAAATAACCAAAAGAGTATATGATTGTGGTTATGGTCGTATTTTATTAATCCCTAATCTCTCCCATTACATACAATGAAACAAGAAATGGTAAAAAAAAGTTAAAACAGAGCAATGTAATACAATACACTATTAGACATTATTGTAACAAAAATATATCCCGTGTTAGTGAATTTTTAAAAAAATATATATTTTAGGCAGGAAATTAATTTTAAAATGTAGATATTTTTCTGGGTTGGGACCCCCAGACACCCTGAAAGATTTGGTCCCCCCCCCAATGTTGACTCCATGGCTAGGGCCTTGGATTATTCGCTCGCAGCTGCTCAGCCAGTTAGAGACATCACAATATGGGCAATTCGTTAAAATGTTGACGTTCACAGTTCGTGCATTTAGTTCTTAGGCACCACGTTGGGTCAGGCAAAGTTGGTGGGGGTGGGGGGGTTACTCAGTTGATACAAAATTCAACAAGGCGGGCGGGCGGGGGTGGGAGAATCTTGATTGAAGTT